ACGTTTTTCCTTTATTTTTATTATTTTTAAAAAATATATATTTTTTATTGATTTCAGAGAGGAAGAGAGAGAAACATCAATGATGAGAGAGAGTCATGGATCGGCTGCCTCCTGCACGCCCTCCACTGGGGATGGAGCCCACAACCCGGGCCTGTGCCCTTGACCGGGATTCGAACCAGGGACCCTTCGGTCTGCAGGCTGGCGCTCTATCCACTGAGCCACACCAGCCAGGGCTCTTTTTTTTCTATTCTTTTTTTTAAAAAATATTTTTATTGATTTCAGAGAGGAAGGGACCGGGGTGGGGGGGGAGAGATAGAAACATCAATGATGAGAGAGAATCATGGATTGGCTGCCTCCTGCACGCCCCACACTGGGAACCGAACCCGGGACTTCTTGGTCTATGGGACAACACTCAATCCACTGAGCAACCACAGCCAGGCTAAATACATTCTTAACTGATTTCAGAGAGGAAGGGAGAGAGAGAGAGAGAAACATCAATGATGAGAGAGAATCATGGACCGGCTGCCTCCTGCATGTGCCCTGACCAGAATCGAACAGTGACCTCCTGGTTCATAGGTCAAAGACGACGCTCAATTACTGAGCCACGCCGACCGGGCCCCTCCCTGCCTGTCTGGGGTGCCCCTGCTTTGGCCCCTGCACCTCTGACCTGCCCCTCCGTCGGCCTCGAGTTCCCCGGAGTCTGGCTCATGGGACCACCCTCGCCTCTCACGGACCAGGGACCTGGCGCTGGGTCACTGGAGAGCTGCCCCTCTACCCGTGTCCTCCGCTGAGCCCCCCCCCCGCCCCCTCTCCCCACCAGTGACCCTCTGCTGTGCTCTGCCCTCGCAGGACCCCAAGCCGCTGCCGTATCTCTGCCATGACCAGCCCTACACGTTCGACATCAAACTCTCTGTCGCCCTGAGAGGTACCATCCAGGATTGGAGGGTGTGGCCAGGGGCTCAGGGCTCCTGAGCTGGGGGGGGGGGGATCTCCTGCTGCAGCCTTAGAGACACGTCTTTTTTTTTTTCTTTTTGAAAATATATTTTTATTGACTTCAGAGAGGAAGGGAGAGAGAGAGAGAAACATCCATGATGACAGAGAATCACGGACCGGCTGCCTCCTGCACGCCCCACACTGGGGATCGAGCCCACAACCCGGGCCTGTGCCCTGACTGGGAATCTAACCCTGACCTCCTGGTTCATAGGTCGACGCTCAGCCCCTGAGCCAGGCCGGCCGGGCACTGGTTGATCCCTGTGTGTGCCTTGGCTGGGGATCAAACCCGCATCCTTGGCGGATCAGAAAGAGACTCGTACCAACTGAGCTCCCGGCCGGGGCCGCGCTGATGGTTCCTGGGACTCGTTAGGCAAACATGACGCTGGGCGATGGGCAACTTAGGCCACAAAGTCCACCCTACAAGGTGGTTTTTATTGGGGTTTTTTGGTTTTATTCCTTCTGAATGGACAGAAGTGAGTCCCTCTGTCCATGTTCCCCGTCTCTCCCACAGGAGAGGGAATGAGCCAGGGAGTTCCCATCTGCAAGTCCAATTTTAAGGTAAGCGTGGGCCCTGGGCCAGCCGCGGACGGACGGAGGTACGTGAGGGACCAGGGGAGCCGTTCCCTCTGGCGGGAACCGGGGAGCAGCGTCCGTGTGGGGAGATGCTGGCGGGTCGCCTGTGGGCCCCAAGGAGCCGGTCCTGGGTCACGAGGCCCTTCAGAGGGAGGCCGGGGATTTTCCTGGAAAACCACACTTGTTTTGGGAGGGTCTAGTCCCGGCTTCTGTCCGGCTAGGGCAGCGGTTCTCAACCTGTGGGTCGAGACCCCTTTGGCGGTCGAACGACCCTTTCACGGGGGTCGCCTAAGACCATCCTGCATGTCAGATATTTACATGACAATTCCTAACAGCAGCAACATGACAGTGATGAAGTAGCAACGAAAATAATTTTATGGTTGGGTCCCAACATGAGGAACTGTATTAAAGGGCCAGAAGGTTGAGAACCACTGACCCAGA